TCTCTTGCTGTGTGACACAAACTTGAAAAAAAGGCCTATGTCTTTGTGCTCTTTCATGAATAGGGGTTTTAGAAACACACCTGCCCAATGCCCTTTACAGACATTTTTGAGTCCTGTCTCTTCACCATCCAAGTGAAGTGGACCTTGGGGAGCTATTGATGCTCTCTTCCAAGTCAGAAAGTCTCCCTTTTTGCATTTTTATAAATGCAAAACAGACCAAAGAATGGAAATGTAATAAATACAGTTTGAGGTTTCCGCCAGTGAGGAGCTTTACATCCACAGACACAGTTAATGTTCACATCCAACGTGTAAGGTTATACTTCTCTTTTATCATAGTGGTGGTGGGGAGGGATGTTGCTGAGCCCAGGGTGGTAGGGAACATGCCCAAGTCACATAACTAGTGACTGAGAGCAATACGTTTTGACCCTGATCTAGTTACTTCGTGAGTGTAGACTATGGCTAAGGCTTCAGACCATAACTAAGCTCTATTTCCAAATAAAGATAAAGGAATGGAGAGGAGGAAGAATCAACCAAACAACATTTGTAAATCACTTAGCCCACTTGGCACATGGTAGAATTCTCAGTAAATGTTAGTAAGTGTTATTGGCCCAGTATAAATTCTTTGAGAACTTTCTTCCAGGGAGAATATTAATGATCCATTATTTGTTACTTGTGAGATGGGAAGTTATTGACTTACCACTGCTGGCCTTGGCATGTTGAGCGCTGTTTCTGTTCATTAATGTGATGAGGGTACTTATGGGGAGGCAGGGTCCCCACTGTGTGGTGGCAGTAATTATCAGTGTTGGTGTGGCTGCAGGAACCGATTGCTAGCAAGTGCTAGTTTCTTTCTTTCTTTTTCTTTTTTAAAAAAATCCCATTATATAATTTAACAATCATTTTGTTCCACAGTGAAATGAAAAGAATTTAGCAGCCTTCAGCTGGAGCTGAATGGACAAGCAAATTATAGAAATCACTGACATTAGTGCCTGGCTAGAGTAGGGTTGTTTCCTACTGAATATTTGAAAGTATTTTGTGCAATCTAATTTTGAAAGACTGGAGTCACTGGGCTTCCATTACTTTCCTTGGGAACTGTAATTATGTGGCCTAATAGAGCTCAGTGGTGGGGCATTTTCTCCAGCTGATACAGGAGCAATGGATATATTTGTAGGAGGTCTAGTCACTGTGTGTTTCAAAATGGGATTTGGAAAAAGGGCACAAACATGTTTTGCTCACTTGGGAAAATATTCTTTTCCTTCTTTGGAAGCATGTTTCTTTGATCCATCCTGCTGGTGTTGAACCATGGTTTGCTACATAATGGGGTTTTCTCTAACTTTTTATTATGGAGAATCCCCAAAATGACACAAAAATAGAAAGAACAATATAATGAACACCCATGTGCCTCAAGAGCCTTCAACCAGTGTCTAATCCCACCCTATCTGTTACTTCGTGCCTATCTACTTCCCTTATTCTAGTATTATTTTGAAGCAAATCTTATCATATTACTTTTTAAAATTCTGATAAAATACACATATGTAAATTTACCTAAATTTTAACCACTTTAAAATGTATAATTTGGTGTCCTTATGTATATTCACAATGTTGTGTAACCATCACCACTATCCAGTTCCAGGACCTTTTTATCTCTCTAAAAGGAAACTGCACACCCATTAAGCAGTCACTCCTGTTCCTCCTTAGCCCTAGTCCCTGGCAGCCACTAATCTGCTTCTGTCTCTAGGGGGATTGCCGCTTCGGATATTTCATATAAATGGAATCATACAATATACAGCCTTTTTTTTGTCTGGCTTCTTTCGTGTAGTGCATAATGTTTTCACGATTCATCAGTGTTGTATCATGCATCAGTACTTCATTCCTTTCCATGGTTGAATTACTATTTCATTGTACGGATATGCCACATTTTGTTTATCTCTTCATCTGTTGATGGACATTTTGGTTATTTCTACCTTTAGATTATTGTGAATAGTGCTGCTTTAAACATTCATGTATAAGTTTTTGTTTGAACGCTAGTTTTCAATTCTTTGGGTCATATATCTAGAAGTGGAATTGCTGAGTCATATGCCACTTCTGTGTTTTGACTTACTGAGGAACAAACTGTTTACCACAGTGACTGCACCATTTTACATTCCCGCCAGCAACGTATGAGAGTTCCAATATCTCCACATCCTTGCCAATACTTGTGATTTTCTGTCTTTTTTAAAAAAAATTATAGTCATCCTAGTGGGTGTAAAGTGGCATCTCATTGTGGATTTGATTTGCATTTCTTTAATGACTAATGACATTGAGCATCTTTCCATGCGATTGTTAGCTATTTGTATATCTTTGGAGGAACATCTATCCAAGTCCTTTGCCCGTTTTTTAAATTGGGTTGCTTGTCTTTTTATTGTGGAGTTGTAAGAGTTCTTCATATATTCTGGATACTAGACCCTTTTCAGATATATGATCTGCAAATACTTTTCCCATTCTGTGCGTTGTCTTTTCACTCTCTTGATAGTGTCCTTTGTGCACAAATATTTGTAATTTTGACAAAATCCAATTTATCTATTTTTTTCTTTTGTTGTTGTGCTTTTGTTGTCATATTTAAGAAGCTATTGCTAAATCCAAAGGCATGGAGATTTACCCCAATGTTTTCTCTGAAGAGTTTTATAGTTTTAGCTCTTCTGTTTAGGTCTTTGATCCATTCTGAGTTAATTTTTCTGTATACGGTATGAGGTAAAGGTTGAGTATCATTTTTTTTTTTTGCATGCGAATATCCAGTTGTCCCAGAACCATTTGTAGAAGAGACTGTCCTATAATTTTATCCACAAGTATTTAGGCATTTTTCTCTAAAAAATAAGAAATTTTTAACATAACGATGGTACAGTTATCACACTTAAAAATATTAACCATATTTCCTTAGTTTCCTCAAATATCTAAGTCTGTTTTAAAGTTGTAATGGTTTCAAAATTTTTACCAGCTCTTTTTAAAAAATCAGTATTCAAATAAGGTGCATCCATTGCAGTTTGTTGCTATATCTTTTTTAAGTGTTTTTTAAATCTATAGGTTTTCCTTCCATCCCTCTTTTGTCCTCCTTGCAATTTGTTTGTTAAAGAAACTATTTGTCTAAACTGGTTTCCTAGTCTAGATTTAGCTGATTGTATCTCCGTGATATAGCATGTTCCCCACTTCTCTGAATTTCTTGCAAATTGGTGGTTGGAGCTAGAGGCTTGATCAAATTCAGGTTTTTGTTTTTTGTTTTTGGCAAGCCTACTTCTTATATGATGTGCTCTTTTATCAGGAGGCAAAAAGAAATATTTATTTCTTTTTTTTAATGTTGGAGGCATTGATGATCACTGCCTGAATCTGTTAGTTTTTTAGGGGGTATGAAATGGTGACACTCTAATTCTATCATGTCTTCTTCATGTATTAGATGGAATATCTGGTTTTTATGAAGAGAAGTTTACCTGCTTTTATTATTTAACTACCCAGTGGTGAAATTTGTATAAGGCAGGATAAACTTCATTATTTCCCTTTATTTACTAGTTCTCAAAATAAGTTGATTCTTTATTTTCTTTCAGTGGTGCCAGTTATATTCTTTTTTGGTGGTGACTTTATTAAGGCATTTAATTAAGCATATTTAACGTGTTTTTAGTCATTGTACTTTTTATTATTGATGCTCAAATTGTCCTATCTTTGGCCACTGTGCGTCTCTTCAGATTGACTTCTAAGTCCTTTTTGACATAATTTCATGGTCTTTGATAGCTTCTGGGCTATTACATATGGTAATTTTCCAGCTCTTATCTGGATGACGTATAGTCTATTTGTGACACTTCCCAAATTTCCCTACAAAAGCTGCTGCTCATAGGTCTCGAAACTTCTTTGAGTTCTTTGGCGAAGATGGGAGGATTTCCCTAGCCTTTGTGGGATCATAAGAAGACAAGTCAGAACAGGTATTGGAAACTCATTCATGAAACTCATCTCATGAGGTTTTATTGAGTTTCTACTAGGCATGCAGAAAAAAAGAAAACAAAATTTCTACCTGAAGATTCTGTAGCCTGGTAGGGTATCTTTTAGGACCTGGTGACATTTCAGGAATGTACATTTGGATAAAGCCAAAACCATCAATGCGATTTTATTGTGGCTCCATTTTAGTTCTGTCTCTCATATCAAGTCAGGAATTGACTACTAGTTATTCTGAATTCTTTTCATATAATTGCAAAAAAAAATAGCATAAGTACCTAATAAAGTAACTTTTGAAGTTATTTTTTAAAAGAGAAAGGATGAAAATGGATGTGTTTTTCTAAGCCTAGAAAATGCATGTAAAAGCACAGAGATTGCTTTTCTTCTAGTCTCTATTTCCCTGTTAAGTAAGGGCAATGTTTATTTTCTGCCTGTTATAAAGTTGCTGAGTACTGTAATGAGTTTATATTTATAGAGTGCTTGGAGCTTTTTGGATGAAAGTTGCTAAATTAGAGTTTATTGTTTATTGAATTTATTTGATGTGTCCAACCTCCTGGGAACATTTTCTGAAGTTAATTAAAAACAGACAGTCCCCACTCTGACAGCTTACAGTGCCACTTACAAACCAACAACATAAACAGCGTGCACTTCTGTACCCTGAACTGGGACACCTAGAGAACCATAGTTCATTCTGACAGAGGAATAATCCTACTTTTATATAAAAGATAAGTTCATATGCTGAGTAAAAACAGAGATACTCTCAACTGTGTCTGAGCCACCTACCTACTTCCATTTAAAAAAAAATATTTAAAATATGGAGATTTTCCTCAATTTCCAGCTATAACTTGCAATTTAAAAAATTTAAAAATAATCTTTCCTTTCTATCATTTTGGGAGAAAATGATCACTGTTGTTTTATGATCACTATTTCTTTGCAGGAATGGCATCCCAAAGCAGCCAACTGAAATGGCTTCTGTCTTTTTAACCCAACCTAGTGGAAGCTGTGAAATGTAATTATAATAATGTCTTGTTTGCTTCCCTTGCCAGTTGGTGATGGAGTTTTGTGGTGCTGGCTCTGTCACTGACCTGATCAAGAATACGAAAGGTAACACGTTGAAAGAAGAGTGGATCGCATACATCTGCAGGGAGATATTACGGGTAGGTGACAAGTGGGGCCTGGGCTACCTCCCAACACAGGGTATCTTAGGAGGTGTTGGACTTTGTTCTGCCTTCCAGTGAAATTCATAAATGTATCAGAAACTCTTTAGAGGCGTATTCTGACAGTGGTGGTGGCAGTAGTGGTTTGGTGCGGAGGTCTGCTTTGATGGCGGTGAGAGCCTTTCTGGATAGGCTGTGTGTACTTTCGCTTGGGCTGATGTGGGGTGATTTCCCTTAGCAAGGGATTCATTTTCGGTGGTGTTTCCAAGTAGAAATCTGATTTCAGATCATAAAGATAATGTCCCGCTAAGGAAATGGATTATTTTAAGGGATATTTTGATCACTTATTTAAATTATTCATTTGTGAAAGTTTATAACCAATAATTAATATAACTAATGGTGTAATGCTTTCACCATGTAAAGTCTCTAAGGATTGTATGACTTTAGTCATTTGTGTACTTACAACCTAGTTTAACTGATTTTACCTTTTTAAAAAAAACTATGAGACCTAGTCACGTAAAACAATGAAAAGTGACTGGATAAGACTGTGCCTGTTTGCTCAGTTTTGCCAACAAATCCCATAACCAGGGAGTCTAGACAATAGTGTCATATTTGCTGAGCTTGATTCAGGGAGAAGAAAGTAATTGTGCATATTTTAGTTCACTTAGACTGGTTTTATTATCTCTTCCTACTAATACGGAGGTTATTATATGTCTATTGAGCATTCTTATTAGATCTGCCTGGCAATCGTTATTTATTTATAAGTTCTGCCTTCTTAATTTAAGGGAACAAAAATTAAAACTGTTTTTCACTATGTGTCTAAGATACACCTTTGAGAGAGATATGTGCTATGGATAGATGGATGAATGAATGGAAGTTAAGAAAGAAGGAAGGAAGGCATGAAAAGAAAATGTCTATTCATCAAATGCAAATCAGATTAGGCAAAAGACAAATAGAAAATGAAATTTAAAAATGATAACATTGATGTGAATAACTTCTACCCTGAAAACTACAAAATATGACTGATAGAAATTAAAGAAGACCTTAATAAATGGAGGTATACAGCATTTCATGGGCCTGAATACTCAATATTGTAAAGATGTCATTTCTTCCCAATTTGATCCAGGGTTTCCTTGAACTCCCAATTAAAATCCCTGTGGGTATATTTATGGAAATTGATAAAGCTGATTTTTAAAAAAATTATATGGAAATGCAAAGGGCCAAGAATAGCCAAGGCAATCTTGAAGAAGAATAAAACTGGAGGATTTATGCTACCCATTACCAGGATTTATTATAAAGTTACTAAGTAATTAAGGCAGAGCAGTATTGTCACAAGATTAGACAATGACAAGGGAACAGAATCAAGAGTCAGGGAACAGACTCACATCATATGGACACCTGATTCGTGACAAGGTAAATGCTGCCGTCAAGACAAAAGGGTACTCTCGTCAGTAAATAACATTTGGCCTGTTGAATGTGCATATGAAAACATGAAACTTGACACTTTATACCATACTCAAAGTTTATCCCAGCTGGATTATAGATAATACATTGGAAAGATATAAAAACCAAAGCTCTTAAGAGAAAACATAGGATAATACCTCCATGGCTTGGGGTCGGCGAAAAAAGCCTCTTAAACAGAACACAAAACAAAATTTGAGGGGAAACAAGGAGGCTTGGCTGCTGATTTCCTTCACATCTGACATGTATCCAAGCTTTGATGTGCCATTGTGTGAACTTAATTTGAATTTCTGACTTAAAATTTCACTCAGACAGAGAGAACATGATGGATTATTTAGTCATCCAGCCTGCCCAGTGGGTGCCAAGGATCTCCCAGGTCTCTGGGGCTGGATTCTGCCCAACATGCCTTTCTGCACTGCTGCGGACCCCCACAGGGCATCAGTTGTTTGATCTGATCTGCAGGGTTCTAAAAGCAGCAGGGATGTTTCACCCCATGAGCATCTCCCAATACCTTGTTTTAAATTGTGTGAAAACAGTGGTTTTCTTCTTTTTTCCAGTACATTCTTCCAAGTAATACCAGCATTTCAGATATGGTGACTCACTGGAAGGGGCATTTGATCATCCAAATGTCCCTGGCCACAAGAAGTTTCAGAGGTGACCCTCTGTGCGTTGTATGAGCTCCTTAAATAGAACCTTTGGCTCACTTATACGCTCTGGTATCTGTTTCCCTCCTTCAGTGGTGAAGGAGGGGAAGGGATCTCAAGTCCCTCTCTTAAAAATTTATGGGATATGTATACTCTGTGAAAACCATACATTTAAATCTGCTTGATGCCTACCTTGAGCCAAACTGATAGGTAAGAAAGGCAATTTTTTAACACCCAAACCAGTGCCTCTAATCATTCTGTAACATGGTTTATGTTTACTGATATCCCTAAATGTACACATGAATCTTTTTGGACATCTGTATTCTCATGCTGAATTTCTTCAACAAGGGAATTCAGATATTTAGTTTTATTTCTTTTCGTGTCTGCCTCATTTTTCAAACTCTTTTGTTGTTGCAGAGAAAAATTAAAAGAACAGAAAATCATAAATAATAAAATGACAACACTTTGATACCCAGTATCTTGAATTATCAAGTGTTAGTATAACATAATTTGCTTTTTCAAGACTTCAACTTTAGATTCTTTTAGGTTATAATTTATCTGAAAAATACGTGACTAACTTAAAATAAGTCTGTAACGTAGAGAACTTAGCACAAAGAAGCCACAATGAGAGTAATTCATAAAGAAATGGAATACAATCAGGTTTGGACGTCACTGAATAAATATCTCACATAATCACACAAAGTCACAAACACCATAAGCCACTAAAAATGACAGAATAAATGCCAACAAAGGAAATAGAAATTGTTTTCCTTTTTAAAGGTAAACCGCATTGGCTAAAGCCAATAGGAAATTTCTTCACTAGTCTGAGGAATATTTTGCTCGCTTAATTAAAATTGTATAACAGAAGGTAACTTTTCACTTTTAAATTCAAATATTGCCAAAAAACCTGTGGAGATCCAGTTAAGTCAGGTTAGTTTTCTGTGCAGAGACCCTGTAGATGTTTCTGTTACACATTAGCAAATGCAGGCAGTCCTCACTTTTCACAGTACTGTATTAACTGAAATTCATGGATGTCGGAACCGTACTGTCACTTGTGTGGTTCCATGGTACCTGATATCAGATCCAATATGCAAGCGTTTCATCTAACACAGCACCATGCATTGCACGGACTGCCTGTATATTTCAGTTTGTATTGATCAACTGCCTACAGGTTAGGACAGCACTATGAGCACATGAAAGATGTGAATATAGTTCTGAAAAGTATGTCTAGGTGAGTTTAATTTTTTTGATCATTAACATTCAAAATAATTTACATGCATCTTGGCTTATGTTCCTATTAACCCTTCTCAACTCTTTATCATTCCAGGGGCTAAGTCACCTGCACCAGCATAAAGTGATTCATCGAGATATTAAAGGGCAAAATGTCTTGCTGACTGAAAATGCAGAAGTTAAACTAGGTAAGAACAGCATCCATTGAGTCTTGGAGTTGCAGGAATGGATAGGATTATATCAACAGCTTTTTAAAAATTCATGTAAATTTGTCACTGTGGATTTGGAGGGTATTGCCCTAAAAACAGAAGGAAAATATTTCTTTGTCTATCTAAAAAAATATTTTCTAAAAGCATTTTGAGGATTGAATTGTATATAGTATGGGGAACAGAACCATGTGCTTAAAGAACGTATAGAAATAATTGAGATTTTTTTTGTTTCAGTAGGTATTAGAAGCAACAGACCTGAAAATAATCTCCTATATCTTACAGATTGTGTATATTGTTGCTGCTGTAACAGAATACTGAGGATGCAATTGTTTCCATTAAAAATATCCACAGTTAGACATACTTACAATAGTCAATTCCAGCGGTATTCCCATATGTTTAAGTTATATTTACATTGATTTCATTATTGCGTTGGTCACCTGTATGGAGTGGATGCTCAGTATTCTACTTTTCGTGCACACTGGTTATCCCACTTCCATCTGCCAGAGTTACCAGTGGGGAATCATTTTCCTTGACATATCCTTTAGAGCCCTTCCTGAAACAAATCTGTGATTGTCCAAAGAAAGCAGAGGATCCCCACGTGCATTTGCCTGCTTGGTGTAGATGAGGAAGAGCATGAATTGACAAATATCCTATAGGATATGCAATTTGTCATCTAGAAAATCATCACTGTCCATGATTGTACATTTTCAAAGAGATTTAAATATCCTCTATGTTTATATCCCAAACATTTGCTCTTACTTTTTGTTAAAATATTTGATTTCCATTTTTTCTTAGTTAGCATTTGGGGCCAGACTTTCATCTCATGAATATTCCCTCTTAGAACAAAAGCATACATTATGTAGGCTAAGCAGTTATATATATATTGACTAGATACACTATCGTCAGAACATTCTCATGTCACTGATTACTTGTTGAGAGTATATTATATATATGCCAGGCCCTGTATAAGATACTTTTCAATAGATTATCCCTCTTAAACATCAGAGCAACTCCATGTAGACGTCGTCATCCTCATTTTATAGATTAGGAAACTGAAACTCAAAGAAGTTGATCTATTAGCCCCAGGTCACACCACTAGTAAGTGACAGAAATAGCATGCAAAATTAGGTAGTCTGACTCCAGACCTTCGTTCTTAATCACTTTTCTTTTATCCCGTAAATACTATCCTCTATGGCAACGAAGCTTCCCTTTTATTTAACACCTATTTTCAGTCCCTGTGGACGAGGACCTTGGTTGAACCAATCATGACATTTTGTGCTTTTCTCATTGGTACACTTCATCCATTCATACATACAATTTAAAAATGCACATTTACAATCGCAAGAGTGTAAAGACAAACACCACATGTGCTCAATACTAAATTGGAACTAATTGATCAACACTTACGTGCACAATGGAAGTAAAATGCAAGGGAAATCAAGCAGGTGGGAGGGGGAAAGAGAGGATGGGTAAATTCACACCTACCAGGTACAATGCACACTAACTGGGTGGAGGGCACACATAACTTTGATTCAAACCGTACAGAAGCAAATTGTCTAACCAAAACATGTGTATGATCGTAATATACTGACAGAAAAGTATTACAATAAAAATACACATTCATAGGATTAAAAAGGTAAAAACAACCCAACTGCCCGCTGATGGATGGGTAGATAAACAAAATGTGGTCTGAATATACAGTGGAATATTATTCAGCCTTGAAAATGAAGGAAAATCTGACAAATGCTACAACATGGATAAACCTTAAGGTCTTTATGTTAAGTGAAATAATCCAGTAACAAAAAGGGAAATACTACATGGTTCCACTTATATGAGGTACTGAGAGTAGTCAAATCAGAGACAGAAGGTAGAATGATAACTGCCAGGGGCTAGG